TAATTGTATCTTTGAAATAAATAGCCTTTTGTGAAAGCTATCCAATGAGTGATTAAAAGGAACTGGAGCATTAGTCAAATGTCCCTGACAATGGGTAGGGATATGTGTGGAACACAACCAGTAGGGCTCAAGTTGAAGAGACATGTCAAACTTTCAGAATCACCCCCTGGAACCCTGAGGGGAGATATAGCAAGCCTGGCCCTAAGAAAGTGGAACTGGAGGGAAATTTGTTACATGTAGGCCTTATCTGGCCTAAAATTGGGCCCTTAACACCAGTAGGAACCCTTGGAGAGATTCTCTACCCAGGACTTAAAATTTTAGATATTCTAGTTTGTTATATCTGAGAGAAATATGTGTGTATTGCTGTTCTTCAGTAGTTTTCAGTCATAACCGATTCATCATGACCTCATTTGGGGTTTTCTTGGCAAAGATACTGGAGATATTTGGCCAGCTCATTTTACAGACGAGGAAACTGAGGAAAACAGGATGAAGTGACTTGCCTAGGGTCACACAGCAAGTAAGTGTCTGGAAGATTAATTTTCCTAACTCCAGGCCTAGTACTTTATCCACTGTGCCACCTACCTGCCCTATGTGTGTGTTTACGTACATACATATGTATATGAATGTGTGTATATGTATATATGTGTGTGTATGTATATATATGTATATATGTTATTATAACTATTATCATAGTTAGTTTTCCAGTTAGTGTTCCCTTACAAAGTAGTGTCATTGAGGTAATTTTGCAGACTGTTGCATCTGTTGATTTGTTGAATGTTTAAGTACTATGACTTGCCATTTAATGGACTCCTGTATGAGTATTGATGTTGAATTAAACTAATATGAGAAATATGGAGTTTGTATTATTAGAACGATAGTGCCAGCCTGGCCCTGAGAGACTGGGGCCAGAGCATCCTATTATACAGCTAATGTACATCTGTTGCAGAGGATGATGAAGTAGAGACATTCTCCAAAGAACCTAAGATTTGATACATTTTCAGAATGGCAGTTTTAGGCTCTCTGTAAGGAAGACATTTCTAACAATTAGGCCATCTAAAAGTAGAATGTGCCACCTTCACTAAAAGCCATGAAATGGAAGCCAGATGAACTCTTGGGGGTGTTGTAGAGAGAATTCTTGTTCAGGCACAGGCTGGGCTAGACTCCTGACAACTGAGATTTTGTGAATGGCCTCCAAGTAAGTCAATATATATAGATGATGTTGTCATTCAGTCATTTTCCAATCAAGTCTGACTCTTCATGACCCCATTTCGGGTTTTCTTGGCAGAGATACTGGAGTGGTTTGCCATTTCCTTCTCCAGCTCATTTTACAGAGAGTTAAGTGACTTGCCCAGGGTCACACAGCTAGTGTCTGAGACTACATTTGAACTCAGGTCTTCCTGACTTCAGTCCCAGTGCTCTATCCACTGCTCTCCTTAGCTGCTCACAGATAGATGACAGATAGACATAGATAAACACATTAGATGGATGGATGGATGGATAGTTGGATGAATATAGATACTTGGTAACTTCAATGAAAAAATTGGGCACAGAAGATGGCAAAAAAATGTGCTGAAGAACGTTACTCAGGATTAAGAAATGAAGCTTCTCACTTACATGTCATGAATGTATCCTTTTAAAAAAATCTGAACTTAAACATCAAATAAAATGGGCATTTCCTTGAATAGTTTGTTTAGGAAGAGAGTTGAAAGGCCTTGGGTACAGCATGCATCAAATTGTAATATCACAAAAATGAAAGTGGAGTCAGGCATGGTGGTACATGCCTGTAATGCCTGCTGGGGAGGTGAGGGAAAGGGGACTGAGGTTGATGGATTGCTTGAGCTCTGCAGTTCTGAGCTACAGTGGGACTAAAGCTGATGGAGGGTCTGTACTAAGACCAGCATCAATCCTTCTGGGAGTGTGCGGCCACCTATGGCTATTTAAGAAGGAGGGAACTGGCCAAGACTGGAAACGGAGAGGGTCAATATTAGGATCAGGTGTGTGA